TCTCCTCCTCCTCTCTCCTCCTCCTCCTCTCTCTCTCTCTCTCTCTCTCTCTCTCTCTATATATATATATATATATATATATGAAAGATAAGAATTGCGACCCAGGACATGGATTTCAAGAAGTAGCCTTAGACAGTTTTTTTCAGCATATCTTCCCCTCTCTGTAAAATGTTTCATAGATGGGGTAGAAAAGTAATGAAATATCAAAGAGCTTTGAAGTCATGAGAAAAGCTAACCATTTATTTATCTTCAATAGCAGGGGTAGGCAAACTACAACATGTTTTTATTTTTTAAAAAAGTTTTATTCACATATAGCCATGCCCATTTATTTATCTATTGTTTATGCTGCTTTTGTGTCACAGAGGCCCAGTTGAGTAGTTGTGACATACTATGTTCTGCACGCCTGAAATATTTACTGTCTGGCCCTTTGAGAAAATTTGCCAACCCCAGTTCTGTAGAAAGGCAGTTCTGGGGTTGAGAATGGGTTTGAATGTGGACCCATGTGAGAATGGATAATAAAAGGTGTTCACCTATTTTCCTGACAGATCAAGGAAGCCACCCTCAAATGGGAGGGCTTTGGACATATTTCTTGGTGAAGGGGAAGATTTGTAGTGAAGCCCAAGCAGGAACAGCCCTTACAGACTTTGGGGAGGAACAAAGCTGGTGGGCCCTCCTCCAGCCTGTGTAAACTAATGGCTGAATTTCTGGTTTGTGCAGTGGTACATCTGATCCTCTTCTATGAGAACCGGCTGAAGGACCATCATCTTGTGATCCCATCTGTCCTACAAGGTTTGAGGGCACTTGTGAGTTCTCCTCTTTTGTATTACATACCATGTTTGCAGGAACCTTTTTCCAGTGAATTCTCTCCTTACCTTTAGCGGGCAAGATTTCAAGTGCTTCAAAGCAGACGCCCAGATTAGGACTACACTAGCATCAGCCAGCTCCACTTCTGTTTTTAGTCTAGGGAGTAAAAGTATCCTTTGGGGACTAGAATTCAGAGCCAAACTGGAAGGAGCCACAGAGAGCTAATCAGCTTGAGAAAAGGGACCACATTTCTCCCTGTTAGCCCTTCTTCCTGACCTGGATGTTGTGATCACACTGTAGCTAATTAGCCCTGTTTGAGGCGTGTGTCTTGAAGGCTGTGTTAGAATTCCCAGAATTCCCTCCCTGCTCACACTTCTCTTCTCCCCCAGAGCCTGTGTGTGGCCTTGCCCCCAGGGCTGGCTGTCTCCGTGCTTAAAGCCATCTTCCAGGAGGTCCATGTACAGGTGAGTGATAACAGTCATAGTATTCTCCTCTGTATTCCAGCCCTTGACGTAACTAGAATTAGATGGCAAAAAAATATTGCCTTCTAAGTTCTGAACTTTCAGGTCTTTGACTGTGTTCATATGCTATCCCTTGCTACCGTAGAAGGAAGGGAGGCATGCCGTATGTCTGACCTGTGTCACCTTACACCGAAAGAAAGTAAGGCATACAGCAGACAGGTTTTGATTATTAGTCCACTGCTGGGCCAATATCCTTACTCTGCATCTCCTCTCAGGTTTATCTTACACTAGGATAAAGAGCACTGGCCACTTAGAGATTGTGAAGCAGGAAGTAGTTTTGTCAGCTGAGGTATTCTTTGGGCACATTCTTTACTTACTTCCTGTCTCTCCCACCAAGTCCCTGCCACAGGTGGACCGACACACAGTCTACAGTATCATCACCAACTTCATGCGAACCCGGGAAGAAGGTAAGAGGCAGGGCTCTCTGGGAAATCTGAACAGTGAGCACATCTTTTTCCCCCCGTTATTAGGACTCATTTTAGCCTGGGGGTAATACAGAAAAGCCAGGGCTCTCAGAGAATGATAAAGGGAAACTGGAGGTCCACACACTCCTCAGTAAAGTAAAGGAAGGGTAGAGTGTGAGCTGCTTTAAATTCCTACCTCTGTAACAGTTATATATTGTTGCGCATCTCCTCTTCACTGAGAACTCTCATGGAATAGGAAAACATAAAGGGTCTGCTCTGGGACACAGGAAAGGGGAGGCAGTGATAGCAGAGGGAGAACACAGGCCAGAAGAAAGCCCCAGCTTTCTGTCTTGTGAGACAGCAGTGACCTTGTTCTCTCCTCCCCAGAGCTGAAGGGCCTAGGAGCTGACTTCACCTTTGGCTTCATCCAGGTGATGGATGGGGAAAAGGATCCCCGTAATCTTCTGGTGGCCTTCCGCATCGTCCATGACCTCATCTCCAGGGACTATAGCTTGGGTATGTAGCCGTGAATTAGCTGGTTAGGGCATGTCAGATGAGAGGTTTATAAGTCCTCATTGTTCCTCTGTTGCCCTAGGGCCCTTTGTGGAGGAGTTGTTTGAAGTGACATCCTGCTACTTCCCTATTGATTTTACCCCTGTAAGTAGTACCTTTCATTTATTCATTCAAATATTCGTTGACTGTCTGTTGTGTGCCAGGCCCAATTCTAGGCACTGTAAGGGCACAGCAATGAACTAAATAAACAATCCCTGCCTTCAAGAACTTACATTTTGGTAAACTGGGGAGTGGAGGAACATTTGCCATGGGAGGAAGGGTTCAATTCAGCAGGTATTTGGGGAGCTCTGTAACAGTATACTTAGTGCTTAGGGCTACAGGATTATAAAACATGATTCCTGCCCTTGAAAGTTGAAACATTTAAGTAACAGTAAGAGATTATGAACCAAAACAGGTGGTGTTATAGTTGTTCAAAGAAGACAGAGTTCAGTATGAGCTAGAGTAGGCAGGAACTGACTTCAGAGATAAGATAGGAGTTCATTTGGTTTCTGAGGGATGCATAGGATATGATCTTGGAGTTGGAGGGGGCATCTCAGGCAATAGAAACAAACTGACAAAACAAAGACACAGTTGAGCATAGTACGTACAAGAGGTGTTTGCTCTGACCCCCTTGGACCTTCCTCCCACTCTGCATCTTAATTTCTCTTCTATTTACAGATACTCAGGGTCTCATCACTGTATGGGTGTGCATGGGTATGTGTACTGCAGGCATTAGTGGTTTGGAAAAAATGAAAGGAGTTATATATCACAGCACACCAAACATCTGAGTATTGACTCTCACTGCCTTTAAAATTACACAGCCATTTTTGCAGTGGGGAATTTCTCACCAGCTTATTTTAGTTGACATCATGTTGCTTGGAACCACCTCTCTTCTAATACCATTTTCATCTCTTTTGTAATCAGTAACACTGTTTCTACTCAGAAGAACTTAAGCCTTTGAAATCGAGAACTTTTGGTTAGGCTGCTGGGTTTCTCTGTTTTTGCTCTCTTATTTTGTTTGTTTTGAAAAGATAATACATTCACATGATTCAAAATAAAAGAAGGTACAAAAACATGAAAAATCCACCTACCATCAAGTTTATTTCTCCATTGTTGACGAGTTTTATCAATTATGTCTGAGTCTTACAGAGCTTTTTCATCGATATATAATCAAATGCTCCCCCTCCCCTGCAAAGATGGTAGTATATTTTTCCCATACTCTGCCTTTTTCACTTAACAGTACATCTTGGAGAGTGTTCCATAATAGTATATAAATTAGCTCTTTATTCTTTATGACTGTGTAATTTTCCTTTGCATGGATACACCTAATTAATTTCACTTGTCCTCTATGGGATAAAAGTTAATCTTTTGCTAATCTTTTTTGTTGTAAGCCACTTACATCCCCTACCTGTACATGTGTCATTTCATACATATATGGGTATAACAGTAGGATAAATTCCTAAAAGTGGAATTGCTGGAACATATGCACTTATAATTTTGAAGTGGGGAAGAGTATGTCCTTTATTTTCTTGAAAGATAATACAATGAGCATGATTAACATGCTCTAAAGGATACGGAATTAAGTCTCTTTATACCCTTTTACTGCCAACATCCACTTTCCCTTTAATCACTGCTCCCAGCTGTTTATGTATTTCCTCAGAGATGTTCTAGGTAAAACAAGGTTATAGACAATGATAAAAGAATTACTCTTGTTTGAGCAGACTTGTGTGTGTTCTTCTGCACTGCAGTCTATGGGAAGCAGAAAACTCTTGTCAATTAAAATATGGACAGCTGGCTTTTAGTGTAACAATTTATGTTAGAAATATTCTTTACGGTCTTACGAATCTGTTTTAGCCATACGCCATCATCATACTGGATCACGTCAGGATAAGTGATGGTTCCTATCCTATATGCTCACACTAGAGCAAGGGTCGGCAAACTTCCTGTTAGAGCCAGGTAGTTACTGTTTTAGGCTTTGTGGGCCATGTGGGTCTCTGTGGAAATGCCTCACCTCAGCTGTTCTAGCATAAAAATGGCTATAGACACTGGAATGTGGTACAATGGCTATATTGCAATAAAACTTCATTCATGGACATGGAAATTTAAATTTCATATACTTTTCATGTGTCATAAGATATTATTCTTTTGGGTTTTTTTTCAACCACTTAAAAATGTAAAAACCATTCTTAA